CTGGGCGTTCTAACCCAGGCAGGACAGCCACCGTTATTGTTTGGGTGCTATGACGTCACGGCAAAAACTAACAATATTTTTGCTCTAAACATATATATATACATTTTCGTGTTCGCCATACCCCCTTTTTTTCCTCCTTTTGAATTTGAGATTTGTTGCATATAAATAAATTGTTTCACTTGTTGTATTCATTTGTTGTTTTGGTGCAATGGAAGTGATACTGGACGAATTGCAAACACGGGGCGTTGATATTGACATGAGAACATTATCTCATTATATTAATTATTTGCTTGAGGACCACGAAGCAACGTACGATCTAATGGTGGTGAATGTTAATCCTAATGAAATGCATGTTGTTTTTAACACGATCAACGTGACTAATTTTGGCCGTGCTATGGCCTACCTGACACTAGTTTATTTGATGCACAATTCCGAGGATACTACACGTAGCGCTGTTCGTCTGGCTGCGCCCCCTCTGAGAAGCTTTGACCTTAGTGCATATCGAATTGAAGAAGAGAGTTTTTTCCTTAGAATGATTTCTCGGATTTGGTTATAAACAGGCGAGCACGTCAAATAATAACACAGTACGTGTTGCGCACGTGAACACTATGGACGTGAGATTTAAAACGCCAGCGAATTTTTTTATTTGTGGGCAGAGTCAAAGCGGGAAATCTTATTTGGTCCGTTCCATGTTACGGCATGCAGAGGAACTATTTAATCCCGTGCCAACCAAAATAATATATTGTTATGGAGAATATCAGAAAGAATTTGATGAATTTCTTCCCAACGTTGAATTGATGGAAGGTTTTCCAAATAACATGCACGAGTTAACCAAGGGGCATGACAATTCTCTCATTGTGCTGGATGATCTGATGTCTCAATGTTCTAACGATCAACGTGTCGCAGACCTATTTACGTGCGGTTCCCATCATCTTGGGATCTCGGTGCTGTACCTGACGCAAAACCTATTTCCACCTGGTAAATTGTCACGCACAATCAGTTTGAATTCTCACTACATGCTGATATTCCGAAATCCGCGCGATTCATTGGGTATTTCAACACTGGCCAAACAAATGTTTCCTAAACATACAGACTATCTTTTGGAGGCGTTTCGCGATGCTACTAGTAAACCCTATGGATATTTAATGACATGCGATTGAGGACCAGCATTTTACCCGAGGAGAAACAGATTGTTTACGTGAAACGTACTTAAACTACGTGTGTTATGGAAAGTCATCATTTGCAAGATGTCAAAGCGCATGAAAGGAAGTCTTCTTTACCTTCAAGTCATTGTCAAATCTAAACCTAAATTGCGAAAATTACTCATCGATAACATTCCAGCGAATGTCATCACAGCTATTTGTGAGTGTTCCTTGAATTTACTTAAAGGTATCATTCCAGTAACACCTCGGCAAAAGCGACGTTTAGCACGTTACAAGACACATCTCCGTAATTTGACCAATAAGAAAGTGTCAAGAAAACGGAAGAAGTTGTACCTTAATCAAAAAGGTGGAAATTTATTGTCAGCTCTCTTACCACCAGTGTTGAGTGTACTCGGAAGTTTGTTAGTATGAAACATGCGAAGCGCATGGTATTGGTCCCGGAGGACGTGCTTAATCGTTATGAGCAGAAACAAAAGATTGAGACCTCCCCAATTACATCCAACATGATGCATCAGGATACGGCGATGTCAGAGATTCTTCAGAGTACAGACATGTCCGATGTCGAAAAACAGAAATTGTACAATGCGAACATGGAAAGTTATCTGAGTTTGAAGCGACAGAAGGACGATCAGATACCTACAGTCCGCACAGTACCGGATGCGGAACAGAAGTCCAAAGAGAAAGCGCCTTTATCTGACGTGGACGTGATCGGACATTTACCTGTAACCCTACGCCCGAAAGCGGCAACTCTTTTGAGACGTTTGAAAGCAAGACCCGACGTTATTTCCTGGGACGACTCTGGTCAAGTTAAAGTGGACGGTAAAGAGATTCCTGATTCGAATATATTAGATTTGGTGAGTGATGCCATGCGGGCACGTAAGAATTTTAATCAGAAGGGAGCGCAGGAATTCTTTCGCGGACTGTCAAAGATTAATGTACCCAAAGATATTGCAAGAAACACGGAAAGATGGGATCAGGTTCAGATGGGCAGTCCGTCTGGCGCGGAAGAGGCTGTTTTTAAGACACCGCCACCGAGACCACCGCCACCAACATCACCACGTGCAAGTCCCGCGAAATATATCCGTGGTTTACTCAGAAGACAGGCGGCGAAACCAAAACAATGGCTTCCTTATTAAAAAATGTAACTGTTTGCATGTAATAATAAAATGTTTTTAAAACCAATTTTGTATTGGCGTCAGTTCTTTGGGGCGGTATTTTTATGCACGGTTCGCATGTGGGACACGAGTTTGTGCGCATGCGCAAAATAAAAAAAAGAACACACTACAGCTTTTTACAACACCGTGGAAAAACGTCTGCGCATGCACCAAATTATGAAAATATGGCGGGGAATTTGAATATCAATTTCTAAAACAAAAACATGCTTATTAATTGGTCAAAAATTAGTAAAACAAACGAGAAAATATAGCAAATGGATAGACTAGACATTAATTGAAAGCGTCCTGGCATTTAAAGTATGGAATGAAATATAATTCATGTAAAAAATTGTTGATTTTAACGGACACGACTTCAAAAATTATTCAAAACAAAAATTCAAACTCAAAAGTTAAGAAAACTCTCGAAAAGTTAAGCTTCTTAACCCACTCAAATTGTAGAATAAATCCTAAAGTTTAATTATTGTGAACACGCAAAATTTTTTATATTTGGCGACACAGTTTTTTTTTAAAGAAATGTATCTCAAACGAAAATTCGGAAATTGTCATTGCTTAGTTGATAAACAAAATGTTTCAGACGATAAATTTGTCAACAATCACCTTTAGTTCATGTTCTTGTACAATACAATTTCTTGAACCTTCTGGCTGTATTTATTTCTAGTTTTTAGAATGACATGTTTATTTTTGCGCTTGAAATCTGGCTGTAAAGACACACAATGAAGTCACTCCTTTTTACCGCCATTTTGAGCCTTCGGAAATGTTCGGAACAGCTTCTCATCAAGTTCGCAATACTATTACAGGTAAGGTTGACGCATGCGCAGACGTTTTTCCGCGGTGTTGGGAGCAACCTTTGGAATGTTGTTAATATTTCGCACCTTCCGAACTTTCTTGAATTGAATCTCTAGTCTGCATTTACAAGCATAGCGAACCGGAAGAGTGTTAAAAATTCAGTATAATATATATCTAATCATATTTTACAATTGTAGCACTGAGTTCAAAATGTAAACAAAGCGTTTGTTTACATTACGGACTTTACATCACCTTTAAATGTCGAGAAACAAGGGAAAATGTTAAAAATCGTATTTGTCAATGTATGTGTTTGTCTATCAGCATGATAACAAGCAACTTAGAATTTTTTTCATCGCGATATAGGACCAGGAAGGTGTACAGTTATATTTGGGGCTTACTCCTGAAGGGATAGCTATAATACGAGAAGCTAAGAAAGTGTCTGGTTTTCCTTGGTGAGTTTTAGCAGCATTCATTTTAGCTGGCCTTAAAATATCTTCTATAGGACCGTCTGACAAAATGTCCAATGACTTTTGAGTTTGGCCTTTGGCCTTTGGGACGGACATATATTTTTGTGCGTGCGGCCGCGTATGCATAAGTCTATCGGGGACTGGTACGGGTAATTAGCATTCTCGTACCCAGAGCCCTTCTTACGCGCGGTGCGACGAGGGGCTCTGGCCAAATCCATATCCGAACTGGCATCTGATTGGCTAGTTCTAACACCGGATATTGTTTTCTTACCATGTTTTATGGTATCCGGTTATGGATTTGGCCAGAGCCCCTCGTCGCACCGCGCGTAAGAAGGGCTCTGGGTACGAGAATGGGGTAATTAGCTATGTGGGCACAAAGGCACGGGTGCTCAGCAATATATTTCAAATCTGTTGGTGTATTTGATGCCACGGTTAACATAACATCCAATATGCTTTCAGGGGGGACGTGTTAAAAGTTTCCTACGACAGTAGAGTTTTCTATGTCCAAATTCAAAAGGAAGAGGTTAGTTCGTGGTATTTCGTGTAAACTTACTTCAATTTTAAAGTCGGAAGAGGTGTGTTACTTACTTCAAATATTTTATGTTTGGAAAATGTTTCAGCGCAAAGCAAACTACGGATTCCGGCTTCCAGACCACGGTGCTTGCAAACACTTATGGAAATGTGCTATAGAACATCATACGTTTTACAGGTACAAAAACCGTATACTTATTGCTTGTTATTAAGAACGTTGGCTGTAATCAGTCTTTTTATTGCTGTTAATTCTAGGTTACTTGTATTCCATTCTGTGCTTACATTATCAGAACAGTGTAACTAGACATGTGAGTTATCCCACCAAATTCACTCACAATCTCACATATATAATCTAAATGCTTGGTTACCTTTGTTCCATTCTATGCTTGCATTATCAGAACAGTGGTAACTAGACATGTGAGTTATCCCACCCAACCTTTGTTCCATTCTATATGTTTACATTATCAGAACAACGGTATAACTATGCATGCGAGCGTTAACTGAATAAGACTGCATCTTGTTGTCTTGGGTTTTTTTTCTAGTAACGAGATTAAACCAGGAAAGGTACGACGTTCGTCTAGCCTGTCACCACAAAGATTCTTCAAACGACATTCGAAATATCAATATAGGTACGTCAACGTTCCATCATACAGACCAGCTGGTCAACTAATTCTAATGACGTTCATTACTCGCATCTGTTGAAGAATGGTTATAAGGATAATAAGTTATATACACAGAGTATGATTGCATGTCCAATTCACCCGAGCCAGATGCTCATGATAAACGGAAGAAGTTATTTCACTCACCTCAGAATGACATTTCGTCAAAACTTTTTTCTTCAAGATTGGTTTAGAAACAAACTTGGAGTAGGGTTAGGTTAGGGTTAGAGTTGGTGTTTGGAATAGGGTTAGTGTTAGTAAAACCGTTGCTTTGTTGCGTTTTGTCACTCTGAGGCCAGCGAAATAACCTCTTATAATAACCATGATAAACGTGCTCCCGAAATAAGGTCAAATATCGATGAACTTGTGGTTAGAGCTTGACAACTGAACTCTGTAGTTCAGTTGGTTAAAGCGCTGCACCAGAATCGTAGGGCCGCGCAGGTTTGATGCCTGCTAGTTGCATTTTTCAAAACTGCTTCTGGTTAGACATAGGCGTACGGGACGGGGGGCACGGGGGCAGCTACTAAACAGATTCAGGAGAATCGAAAAGTCGGGCAAATGTTCAACAAAAGTCGGGCAAAAGTCGGGCAAAAAGTAGTCAAAACAAGAAAATCTCGCTTAATAATAACACCAGTTTGTTGGGCAAACAAAGCCAGTTGGGCAATATTCGCTTCTCAGTCGGGCAATATTTGGTTATTATAAAAATAAATGGGACAATTCTGTCAATTTTGTGGGAAATTATGTCAATTTTTGGGAAAATTTGTTTGATGTTCCGACAAATTTAATATGTCCGAAAAATTTTTTGACCCCTAAAATGGTACACTGACCGAAATTTTTTTGGCGAAATTCCTTTGACCGAAATTCATTCTTTCCTTCCCGTACGCCTATGTGGTTAGATCTAATAAATGTATGACAAGCAACGCAGGATGTTACCGCGGCGACGCGTTCTCGCACAGAGCACGTTTTATTACATTACTGTTATGTTCTGTAGTGGCCGAACTCAAGACCAAGTCATTAAAGACAGTTTGAGTATACAACGTCCTAACCCTGAGATAAAAAGGTAATATTAATGAGATAATAGCTGTATCTGTATTCCCAAGAGGTCCAGTAAAGACGAAGCTTAGATGTTCCCTTGTCCCCTATCATTCCTTTGGCTTTGTTCCCATTTTCCCATGACAAAATACGCCTTGTTCCCCAGAAACCCCTGGGAGACCCTCGCCTCTGTCCCTATCAAACATAGTTCCGTAATAATTATCTACCTCAACGAAATACATCTTTACACTACTTTCAGAACGCCAAGTATTCGAATTTCAACTAGACAAGACGTGTCAAAGAAGTCCTCTGAGACCGCGAACAACAACCGAAATACAGCGGACACTCCCTCAGGCGACGGCTCAACCAGCACATTCTCGGGCTCAGACCCCCTGAAGGAATTCGAAACCGAACATATCCCGGAAGTGCCGCCCGATGACCACAACCATTCGCAAATCGACCTTGTGGATTCGAAGTGGACTGGGAACGAGAACGGACCAGTGACGGAAGTCGGGGCGGTGAGCGACAGTGAGACGCCTGAGAACGAGGGCAACGTGGCCCTGTCGGTTCTATTTATATTGTTATTAGTAGCCTTAATCATAATCCCCGTAGCAGTCGTAGTGCAGAGCAACAAAGAGGCCATAAAATCATCATCAGCTTACCAAAGTTTCGCCGCGTGGTTTCAATCAGTTACTGGAGTCAACATTCTCTGATGTCAGCGGACTTATCACATGAAGCATGCTCATTCGATCAACGCATCAATGCTTGCAAACATCAACTTTGAACTAACAGCTGTTCAAGGGCTATATTTAATGTGTGTGTGCTGTTATTTCGTACTGACGAAACCTGTAATTAGTTGCATATATTTTATTTTTGCTCCATGTAACAAGTATACTTAAATTAAGACTATTTTAAATTCTTATCATAGCTCGAATTAATTAAACTCAGATATTTATGGCCCGTTTTTATCCGATCATCCAAGTATATAATTCAAATCATAGTCAATAGAATAAGAAGGTTAGAAAACTCGATTCAGACATGATATAGACCTCATTATCTCTGTTTTTGTCTTTGTTCATGCAAGAAATGGTCGGTTCATCGTCACATGTGTATTGTATTTTTGCTAAAGTGACCAATAGCCATGTTTTCATTCAAAGTGCCTATATCATGGTTTTGGAGTTTGCATATCTCGAAAGTTTAGGGTATTTTAAGAAACTTTGCAAAACAGTTTGTTATTCAAATTTCATCTTGATGGATTTATTAGCTCTTAAAGTTACCGGACATGACGTCAAAAGGAGAATTGCAAATCAGTTTTCCTTTGTATCATTGCAACAAAATTCTCCTTTTGACGTCATGTCCGGTAACTTTAAGAGCTAATAAATCCATCAAGATGAAATTTTTCAAATATATTGCAAAGTGTCTTAAAATACCCTAAACTTTCGAGATATGCAAACTCCAAAACCATGATATAGGCACTTTAACCATTGTGTAATATCACGACTGAGTAAGTAAACCAACATACTGTTATTGGTTAGCTGGGCGAAAAAACAATACACACTTGACGATGTACCGATTATTTTTCGCATAAACCAAAATAAAAAAAAAACATTGATAATGCGGTCTATTATGTTTGCGTCAAGTTTCCTAACCTTATAGTCTATTCATAGCCTATCGAAGGGAAGATGGCTGTGAAACTCATTAGAATAACAATATAACTCATCTATATTGGTCAACGTTTATTCATAAATCTGGTCCTTCACCTTCACGTGCGTATTGTATTCTTGCCCAACTAACCAATAGCAATATTTTAGGAAAGTCACCTATCCGTGACTCGAACAATAGGGAAACTGGAAATTACTATTGGTAGATTTGGTAAAAATACAATACACACGTGACGGTGAAACAACCAGGTTTGTGAATAAACGTTGACTAACATAGATAATGAGTTATATTGTTATTCTAATGAGTTTCACAGCCATCTTCCCTTCGATAGGCTATGGTCTATTGACTATGTTTAAATGCTTGGTTACCTTTGCTCTACTTGTAGCCTATCGAAGGGGGAAGACGGCTGTGAAACTCATTAGTATAACAATATAACTCATTATCTATGTTAGTCAACATTTATTCATAAATCTGGTCCTTCACCGTCACGTGCGTATTGTATTTTAGTTGCCAAATCCACCAATAGCAATTTCCAATTTATCATTGTTCGAGTCACGGATAGGTAACTTTCCTCAAACATTGCTATTGGTTAGTTGGGCAAAAATACAATACGCACGTGACGGTGAAGGACCAGATTTATGAATAAACGTTGACTGGCATAGATAATGAGTTGTATTGTTATTCTAATGAGTTTCACAGCTGTCTTCCCTTCGATTAGCCTGCCTTCGATTAGCCTGTCTGATCATCGTTGGCTTATGGATGATGTCAACGTACTTATTACCAACTTACTGGCAGTTCCCCCCTAACATCGGCTCCTATTATATTTATAATGGCGTATATCGGTTCTCAGTTGTTCCAACAAGCCTATCAAAGCTGAATAACGCTAACCCTGCGTTAAAATTTGACCTAATTACATTTGCACTTGTTTGTTTCAAAACTTTGGAAAATAAAACTTCTTTTGATCAGACATGAATTGTGCATGGAAACTATGATGGCCATTTCTTTTTTAATGACGTCAGATTCTAAATCGTGATTTTTGTGGTTTCAAAAAACATCGTACTGCTGAAAACGAAAACAGAAAAAAATAATACGCTTATATTTTATATTCAACCTTTCTACTCTTTCTTGACACGCTCCAATTTAAAATTTTAATTTACGACTTTTATTGTTTCTAATTGTAAATATCTCGGCCGAAGTCAGTTCGGTGAAAGCACAGTTTATAGACGTATGGCTATTAGTACATTGTTCGAGAAAATTGAGTAATATAGTGAAATATGACACCGCTATATCATAGCTAATCAGGGACGCCGGAACGATAATAAGGCAAAGGGGGGCAGACGCACACCAAGGGCACCTCTATAGAGCAAAACTTCAAAATTTACCAGGAAAATTTTTTTTTCAATCGAAAATTTTGGGCGACCTCCTCCCCC